AACCTGCCTGCGGGCTGCGCTGGCGCTACCCGAGCAGGAGGCGGTGGCTTCTCGGGAAGAACAGGCTTTGGCTGCGGGCGCTGCGCCGGGCAGGCCGAAACTCGGGGCTTCGGGCTCTGCCCTGACCGCGAAACGGCGCCCGGCGTTTCGCTGACAGCGCTGCGTTGGCTTGTGTCCTCCGGGAAGAACAGGCTTTGGCTGCGGGCGCTGCGCCGGGCAGGCCGAAACTCGGGGCTTCGGGCTCTGCCCTGACCGCGAAACGGCGCCCGGCGTTTCGCTGACAGCGCTGCGTTGGCTTGTGTCCTCCGCAGATGGTGGAGAAACTGCGGTTTGTTGCTTTGCATCGAGCGTGGATGTAGCTTGTGCACAGATTTCTGCTGGCAAAGGGCAGGTTTGGAGGCTGGATGAGGTTTTGCAAAAGTTAATAGAACTTGATAATTAAAGTTATGAAGGCTGTCTGTATAACTTGAAGCATTTTAAGCCTATATATTTATGATCTTGTTCTAGCACAAGCAGATAATAGAAAATTTAGCTTAATCTTCCAAGATGTTAATGGCAACATCGGAAATGGCATCAACAGTTTTTACATAAGGGGTATTAGGGGCACTCATAGCTGGTGAGACTTGGGTGTCTTTGTTAGCTAAATCATTCATATAATGCTTGGTGATTTGCGTGCGCGATCTAAGCTTGTCATCTCAGTTTTTAAAGACATAAATTTCGTTTCAGATCTACGGTTCATCAATGTTTCATGTACCCTTCACAAAATGTCGAGTTTTGTAGAGCATAGGGAAATAAATGTCCTCTTTATTTTTCTGTTCATAAGGGGTAATTCATTTGCTTGTGCCTTAGGACAGAGAGACAACCCAGCCTTGGACATTAGGTAATGAGGATGATTTCAGGTGTTTATATTTTTTTCTGGGGAAGAATAAAGAGCGCCAAAGACAGGAGACATTAACTGCCCAATTAGTGGAGGCATATAAAAGGAACTGAATTTTCTCTAGGAAGGGCAGATACTCCTTTTACAAAATTTGGGGGACTAACCTATGATAATACATTCTGTAATTCTGTCCATTTCTGAGAAAATTCAGAGATTCCTATGAAAAACAAGGCCCCATAAAATGGTGAAGTTGTGCACACAAGGCCTTATGTTCCTTTGAAAACCTTGACTTAGCATTGTAAGTCTGTGCGTTCATGATAACATCTCTTTTTTTCAGGGGGGGTGTTTTTAAATCAAGCTAATCGGTAGCTCTTCCTAAAATATGCAGTGTCTGCCAGTGAGCTACTAGCAATTATGTATTTGATGGTTCTTTAGAGCATTGTAAGAGAGAGCATTGTAGCACTGCAATTTTATTGGACAGTGTAATCTGATTTTTATCTTCTAAAATATTGCTGGAGCAATGTTCAACCGGTGTCAGGATATCACTCAAAGCTGTCTGTGTTTGATTTTAGGCTGAATATCCTGATGCGCAGCTTGCTGTCTTACTGGACCGTGGTGGAGCTTGCATGGTCACATCTTGCCTGAGGTTTTCTCAGAAACTATGTCATGAGGTTATCTTGCTGAGCAAAACAGTTACTTGATGCCTGTCAGTAGAAGAGTATCATATCACTTTGTGACAGCACTTCATAGGGGGCTATTGGGTACTGTAGATGTTCCTCTCACCAGCACATCATGGTAGATGTAACAGAGGAGGAGATGGATAACCCCACGTTTAAAAGAGACACTGTACTTTCTGACGTTCACTTACACTGTCCAAACAAAAGGCATCTCATGGTACGATTGAATGCAGTTGGACAACCAGGTAATGTATGTTTAGACTGACAGAGCTATATTTTAAGTGTATTCATATCTTTGTAATGTCTGAATCCTCCTTTGAATGGTTGATATTAGTCATTACATATTTTATTCCAGTTAGAAGCAGAATCACTTCTTACTCAGTCTTTAGGAAGAGGGCTAGCTAGATTCTCCTCATAAAATTAACTACAGAAATGAAAACTATTAATGTAGAATTTGTAGACAGCCTACCTTAAAAAAGAAATCTTAAATTACTTTCTGAGAAGTAACCAAATTAACTTGCTTGCGGGTTTAATTTTATTTATATATTTGTTCATTTATCTATAATCTCAATATAGCACTTTGAGAATCATGTTAAAAAGTTGGGATGTTTCTTGCATAAAAACAAAAGTTGAGAAGCCAGGGGTTTTAAATAATGTAACTTAAGTTTAAAATAAAAATTATCAGTAATTAATTCATGAATTTTTATGAAATCTTTTTGTGATGATTTACCATCTATTCCAGAGGAGCCTAACAGCTTTGATTGTTTTTTTTGTTTTAAAAAAATGGGTAACAACAAAGCTCAGAATAGCAATGGTTTTGACTAACTTAGATAATTTGAAGAGTCAAGGCTGTAGTGGAAATGAATTAGGAAATGCCTGTGACTGATTGCTGGCTTGTAGGTTTCTATAAAGTTGTCCAGGAAACTGACCTTGAAGCTGTTGGTAAAATGTTCTGTAGAAAAGTACTGCTCCTGCTGTGACAGAAGTGTTAATTGTTTTTTTCAAACCCAGTTGTGACATAAAAAGAATAACTTTTGCAGCTGTTCTAGCATATGACTGTAAAAAATGATAAAAGTAGGCTTGACAAAGAAGTGGATAATAATTTTGACCCTGGTCAGGTCAAAAACGGGTAATTAATGCTGCAGTATCTCTTCATGCTGTTCAACATTTGTTTGCTGTGATTCGCTTGATGCAGAGAACCTTTCAACAGAATGAAATGACAGCACGTGCTACCTACTCTGAATGTACTTGGTCTGGGAAATTCCTTTATTTGTTGAGACAAGAATTGGATTATAGTATGACAGCTTTTACTCTAACAAATATGACGACAATCTACCACTGTCACTTTGCTGTTTTTTGGGGAACCTCACGGGGATTTAGTCTCTGCTACTTTGGGGTCAGTTTTACCTTACACCTTTTGAAACGCCATAGAACATGCAGAGGATCAGAATGGGCTTGGAGAACAAAAGCATTTCATTCGTTGATGGCATCCTCTAATTTGTTAAATATTCAAATCAGCTTAATCTGGTTGTCAGGCAAACAGTAGATGAATTAAAGAAAATCTCACGCCCGGATAGGCAATGAAGATTTTATTAGATCTAGCTGAAAATGTCTCTCTAGAGAAGGACTTCTCTCAAGTTACAGTAGACCAACTTTGAATATCTTGCTTTCTAAAGAAACTGGAAGAGAACTCCATAAATTGTGAAACTGTTGAAAGCAATGGTGGCAAACACTGTATCTCTTCCCCTTTGGTGTGAAATGAATAGAATTCTAAGACATTCTTCTTAGAATCTTGCTGGTATTGACCTTTTTCACTAGTTGTATTCTTGGCTATCTTTTTCTCAAGTCTCAACACATTGTGTGTGATTTTGGAACAATAGTATCCAGCCTAAGATGTCTATAAACACTGATTTTGTACCAGAGTAGGTGAATCGAATTCCATGATTCTGTGTTCTGTGACTGGCCTGTTTAGTCAAGCACAGTGTGTAAGCACTGCTGAAGAGCTGAGATTGACTGTAGATGGAAGGACAAATGTTTGTTCTTCCTCATGTATTGTATTCAGACAATACAGATTCCTATAATTAAAATCGCAAGGTCCATGTTTGGATAACTTGAAATTTTTAATAGGTGCTGATGTCACCAGATGATGGTTGCAAAAGGTTTTTAATTAATTGGTTTATTGAGAACAATGGCCTTATTCATTTAATCTCTTCAAAGATTCAGTTTGAAGACATTAAAAAAAAAAAAAAATTGTCATCATGTCCAGCTTCAGCAAGCTATCTCCTGTGAACTTATTTCTGCTCTCTCGTATTCATACTAAGCTGATTTCAAGGCTTGAAGTTGCTTGAATTCCTAAAGACTTTTAAAACAATAAAAAAAAAAATCTACTTGCTTTTTACTAGAACATGTTTGTTTCTTACAAGATAGGAATTAAATCTTAACCAAAAGAAACAAAGTCTAACTTGTATTAATTCTTCTTTCAACTTGGTTTGAGCTTGTCTCAACAGAAGATCTTTTGGAGGGTGTAAGAAACCATCCCTTCTGCCAATTGTTAAAATAAGTGTTACTAAATCAGATGAAAGTGTGCATTGTGACTTGAGTAGATGCTGAGTCAGCCAGCAGTCTGTGAAAGTGCTTCATTTATTTCTACTGACAGAACTTAATAACAGAAATATTTCTTCGTAGCAAGTTGAACTGTATGTCAAGTTATCTGTATGATTTTTTTTATCCTCTAGATTTTTAATATGTGAAACGCACACCAAAATTTCATGCATGTGCAAGTTGCGCATAGATTCTGTTCTTACCGGGTGTTTAACTTTTTTCCCCCCTCTGTGTTCTTACAGTATTCCTGTCATATTTCAAACTTATTTGGAACACAGAAGATTCGGCATCTGAGAAACATGAAGCTACAACAGAAAGAGAACACCAGTACAGAAGTGGAGATGAACTGTGTGACAAGGACAGGAATAACCTAAAAAAAGAAAGAGAATTAAATAGTGAAGGAGTAGAAGCTGTGCTAGACGATGACGGAGACTTGGAAGTGGTCAGAAGACCTCGAAGTGCCTCTGATTTAGAAGCGGAGGATCTTTTGAGAGATAGAGTATATCCTGTAATTCTGATGAAAGCAAAAGAAGATGCTTTTGAAGATGAAGAACAAGAATGCACTTGCAGTGATGTTGTTAAAATAGGTAAACAGTAGGCTTACAGTCAAGGAGAAATGGAATCAATGTGTTTGTGTAAAACAAAAGAAAAATAGGTTTTCTTTAGAAATGGAACAGCAGTTGTTAAGTGAAAGGAGATAATAAAACAAACATAATACTGTGATATTGTAAATATTTTAAAAATTTACTATTTTTCTCCAGAAGTGATTTGGGCAATAGTATACCATGGGAAACTCAGTGCTCCCTAGTTAGAGTGGGGTTTTCAGCGTTATCTAGCATTATTATATAGAATGAATAGTGTTTAGTTCTATATTTGAAAGGGAAGCATGACTTGAATTTCAAATTTGCCACTATGGAACTTGATTTGAACAAAATTTTGAGATAATTATTTCTGCTCTACTTTCATTTTCACAGAACATACTATGGCAACCCCCTTAGAAGATGTCGGTAAACAAGTATGTATTCTGCCTTGTAGTATCTTGCTGTTCATGGATTGTGCTTCAGAATTTACTCAGTTTTAACTGCTTCTCTTATCCACAGGTCTGGCGTGCAGCCTTTCTTCTTGCTGATTACATTCTGTTTATACGGGACACATTCAGGTGTTGCTCAGTGCTAGAGCTTGGAGGTGG